AAAAATTAAAAACATAAAAAATTATTCTGGCGATAACAACATAAAAAAATATACTTAAATCAAATTTTTCAAAGGAAAATTGCAAAAAAAAAAAATCCCTGACCAAAAATTTAACTGTGCTAAGAGACCATAGACTTGTCTCAAGAAGATGTCCTTCGAAGTTAATAATCATATAGAGACCTGAGACCTGCTGAGACTTGTTATTAGGGTTGGGATCTATTTCTTCCTTATATCCTCCTCTACAAATTCATATAGAGTCCTTTTAGAGGTATTTCTCATCTCATAGGTGAGGAGCCAATCAATGCCATCTTTGCTATACCTCTTTCTGTGGTTAATGGTTAATAATCAAGACCAAGTATATGGGAAGTCTGCTAGCAATGGCATTTATATAGTGAAATTGGGCTATGCAACAGCTACGAAAATGAAGACTGCAGAGTTAACAACAAGAAGCTCATCATCACTAATTTCTGAATGGGCTTGGAAGAACATGGGGAATGTGAAGATGACACCTCACATTTCTAATTTCATATGGCAATGTCTCTCTAATGCCCTTGCTACAAATGAAACCTTTGCAATGTCTCTCATTTGTGTCTTGTATGTGAAGGTGAGACTCCTATGAGCATTTATTTTTTCAATACTGTTGCGTATGGTTTGGTAGTAACTTGCCTTTGACTAGTACTGCTTTTAACAAGACCAGTTTTTGTGAATGGTGGTCCTGTATCTCACCTCTGAATAGTGGCATCGCAAACCTTGATCTTGCTAAAATTTGTTAGCTACTTTGGTTAATGTGGAAAGCTAGAAACGACAAGCTTTCTAACCTGATTGAATCAAACCCAAGCACTCTTATTGAAGGAGCTACACGTGCAGCCTTGGAATTTTGGGAATCTATTGTTCGTGTACAGCAAATTGATCCTGCGGCTAATGGTAGTACAAGAGGGCATCATTGGTCTGTTCCTCGTGCTGGGTTTTTGAAAGTCAATTGTGATGGTGCCTTCAAATCAAATGAGAATACTGCTGCTATTAGTCTGGTTTGCAGGAATGATGCTGGTCTCTTTGTGTGGGCTTTTGCTAATAAGGTTAAGTCTCTTTCTGCTTTGATGAGTGAGGCTTTAGCTTTAACAAAAGCACTTTTACTTGTATGGGACCTAAGTTATGATGAGGTAATTGTTTGAAAGCGATTGCCTTATGCTTGTTAATTGCATTAATAAAGGCCAAACGAATTTTGGTGATTGGTTGTGCATAAGTGTTGTTGAAGACAATTTAGATCCCATGGCATCAATAGTTGGGTTCTCTCTTTCCTCTGCCACGCAAAGGTAATAGTGCAACGAATTTCATGGCTACTTCTGCTCTTAAAAATGGGTGTCTAGTTGCATGGGTGGAAACATCATCACTTCCTTTATCTCTTGCTTTTTCATAGAAATCTTATTGGCCAAAAAAATTTACATTAACAATAACTATTCTTGTAACTTTTCTATTATCATTTTTTTCAAGATAAAAGACCATAGAATTTTAGCATAGGTGATTTAATTATAGTAAAATTAGGCAACGTTACCTTACCACACAAATAGAAAACTAAATTTCATGCATTATATTAACAGTCAAATCAACATGTGAACTTGCATAACCTCACTATCTACATCCTATCAATTTATTGACATACGTGATGCATAAGGCACTTCATATTCAAGAAACATGTGCAATACTGTTTGGGCTAAACGTGAAACATCGTGGACAAAGCATTGGTCGGTTATAAAATCATATAGGTTAAGTGACTGAAGAATAAAGCCCAATCAACCATTTAAATCAAGACAGAGTTCAATGAAAAGCTACAGCCAGATAAGCATGTCGAAATCCTACTAGTTGTAGACCCACTTGGTGGATTGTTAATGCATAAAGACACGATCTCAAATGATCCTGGATCTCGTGAAAATAGCATCATTGTGCTAAAGTATCTTGACGAGATGAGCTGAGCTGGTTACCAAAAATGGAAGACAGTGAGTGAAGACCATGCCATGAGTTTCGCGAGATTTCTATTTTTTCAGAAGAACATTCTAGGTTCTAAGAGAGAGGTTACCATCACTCTGTCGCTCTAAATAGAGTACCAAAGCGCAAAAGAAGACAATAGCCAACATTTAAAAGACTCACATTTTACATCGGTAGTTTTTAGGTTTATCAATTAGCTTTATTTTCAATTTAATTGAAATCGTTTTACATTTCAATAAGGATCAAAACACTTGTTTTACAAATTTTGTGTATCTTTTACATCTGGGTAAACTATGATAAGGGACCCTTTTGTTATCAATTGAAATTCAGCATCTTTGGCACGCCTAGTAATTCATTGTTCACTGAACAAATACTATCTCACAAGACCTCACAAAACATAATACTCCACTTATTATATAATTGTTTGTTTTTTCTTAATTAGAGTTATGCGATGCTATCTCACGTGACCTTGCAAAACATAAGACTCCACTTCAGATGTCATTAGATGACCAAATAATAACTCTCACTCTTCCTATTGCACTCATGCACAATGCATGCAAGCTTATACTTCATTTCTTATGTTATTGACTTGCACGATATAATACATGTTCCATCACTATTCTTTAATCTATATTTGCACTTACTTTTATAATATAACCCTAATCATATTAACAAGCAAGATCATAGTTTTCTTATATTTAAATTATGTTTTTTCTAACATTGATGCACTTTTATTTATTTTATAATATCAAGAATTTTAATATGTTCATCATATGATTTAATATATCCCGTGCATCACACAAGGTTAAAACTAGTTTAATTTAAATATTGAGATGAGAAGTGGGAAAAAGTGAAGAGAACAAACAAATGGAGAGAAACAATTGAAATTTTGTGATGAAAGTGAAGAAAAGGAGGGAGGAAAGAAGCTTGAAGCACGGCCAAAAAAAAAACTTCAACCGTTTTACGATGAGAGCTTTATGTTAGAGTTCTTAAAATATTCTCAAACAACAAAATATTGCCTCATACTTCTCTCTTGTATGTAAATTATTTTCAACGAGTTTTCTTAAAATTAAGAAAATTTTTAAAATTCATTAACTTTATTTTAAAAATTAATAAGTTTTTAATTTTATCCATATTAAATATAGTATTAAATGGCAAAAATACCTTGAAACTTTTCTCTGGGACCTGACATCTTAAACTTTTTTTGAAACATTTTTACCTTAAAAATTTCAAAAAGAAAGCATTTTTATCCCTCCGTTAAATATAAAAAACGGTATTTTTACTCTGAAACTTTTTCTTCAAGGGTACTGGGTATTTTAAACTTTTGTTTGGAGTAATTTTGGCTTCAAAGTTTCAAAAAGAAAGCAATTTTGCCCTACTATCAATATTGATCGTTTACTTTGACTTTAATTATCACATATAGCCGAGTGGCACCTAGACAGTTAGAATACCTCTATTAACATTAATAACAACTCCATAAACAACAAGAAAAATTAAAAAAAAAACATCAATAATAGTTCAAGCAAGGAATAAGAAAATGAAGAAAAAAAGAAGAAAATTATCCACGAGTCTCATTGCCGCCTTCATGCTTTTAGATTTAAGAACTCAAGTCCTCACATCCAAGTTTTTTTTTTTGTCTTTTTCATTGCAATTTTATTTCGATCTCATGCGAAATGTCACTCCCTCTTCTAAGAATTGTTGGGAGAAAATAGAGCTTAGTTCTAAATCATTCAAACCCAAAACTATGCTTGAAAACAATCAACTATTCGCTAAGTCAATCCGTATGAACTCGGTCTCATGGAAGCTCTCTTCTTTTTTTAATGGTGGATTTGCAATTTAGGGGAAATTAAGAATGGCAAATTTACCTTCAATGGACAAAGTGATGCTTGAGCAACCATTATTGGGGGGCAAAAGTGCCAAGTTAGATGCGAGACTTCTTACAAGGCTCGCGAATCTCAAACAGCTATTTTTCCAGCTTTGCATGGACTTCAATCCATGGTTGTGAGGGAGCTTGTTGGTGGAAAAAGAGGAGGGAGAAGAAGAGGACAATGAAGAAAAATGAAGTGCAAAATTGCTCCATTTTTTAAAATTTTAAGTCAAATAAGTTTCAAACAAAAGTTTATAATACCTAACACCCCTGGAGAAAAATTCCAAAGCAAATATGCCATTTAACCTATAAGAAAATTTCAATTTAATGGTCAACATTTCTGATATTTAATAGTGGGAAAAAATGTTCTCTTTTTAAAACTTTTAGAGCAAAAAATGTTTTAAAAAAGTTTAGAATGTCAGGTGTTCTTAAAGAACAAGTTTCAGAGCAAATATATATATATACACATGTTTTAATAATGCAATCTCTTTTACTAACATTTAATAGGGGTAAATGGAGAAATTTATGATAAAAATTTAAAATTTAATAACGTGACTTACTCTCTCTTATCCTATTTACAAGACAAATAAAGAAATTTTTTTATTCTATTTATAAGTTGCATCATTAAACTTTTAGCACAAATTTTTCTTTATACCTTTCATTATATTTTTGTGAAAAAAAATTATTATTAAAAAAATATATATATTTATTAAGAATAAAGTTGAGAATTTATAAAATTTTTAGATTGAATTAATAAATTTTAAGAGTTTTTTTATTTTGATAAAACAAGTCAAAAATAATTTATAAATACGATGAAAACAATGTAAATAGGGGAAACAAATTTTCATCTTTTTTCCTCAAAGTAAGAGAGGAGTGAGTACAAATAATTGAGGGTTTGGATTGAGTTTTAAATAATCAAATTTTGAGAGTTTTAATGCCTTGAACACCTATCACGGAGAAAAGAATATAAAATCTATTGAGGTGGTCTCTATTAAAAAAACACTGATTGGGATGGTAGCATTGAGGGTTGAATAGACAATAGAGTACTCACCGGATAAGCATGATGTAAAAATGACGAAGATGAAAAATAATTAAATAAAGAGGAGGTGATATTGGCAATGAGAGATGCAGAGAGCCAGCGATGTTGACTTCGTGCCATTTATAAAGTAGCTCTCTCAATCTCAAGTGAATCTCCTTCGTTTCCTTCTCTTCCGCCTATCTTCCATTGATCTCCAATGGAGAGCTTCGCACTTCACTCTCTCTCCTCCTCATCATCCTTCTCTCTCTCTTCCCCTCGTTCCTCCTTCCTCCGTCATCGTTCTCGCCCAATCTCCAAATCTCATTTGTCCCTTCCTTTGACTCCAAACTCTCCTTCAACCCCACCACTCAGATCAACTGTCTCTCGTTTCTCCTCCTTTCCCTCTAAATCTTCGTTCACCTTAAATCCCCTCCCTAAACCCCACATCGTAAATCGCCCCACTCAAGCTTCTGCTTCGTCATCTTCACCGGCATTATCGTCATCCTCACCCCAAGTTGCTCAAGGTGCCAAACCTTTACCTTTTTTGATCTCCATTTCTATTGGTCTTATCGTTCGCTTCTTAGTTCCCAAGCCCGTCGAGGTTACCCCTCAAGCGTGGCAATTGCTCTCGATTTTTCTATCGACCGTTGCGGGTCTTGTTTTGAGTCCATTGCCGGTGGGAGCCTGGGCTTTTCTTGGTTTAACAACCTCCGTTGTGACTAAGACACTGAGCTTTTCTGCGGCTTTTAACGCGTTCACTGACCAGGTCATTTGGCTGATTGTGATTTCCTTCTTCTTCGCTCGTGGGTTTGTGAAAACTGGATTGGGGGATAGAATAGCGACTTACTTCGTGAAGTGGTTGGGAAAGAGTACCTTGGGGCTGTCTTATGGGTTGACTTTTGGCGAAGCCCTTATTGCACCGGCGATGCCCAGCACCACCGCGAGGGCTGGCGGTATCTTCGTGCCGATTATTAAGTCACTGTCACTCTCAGCAGGGAGTGAACCCAATCATCCTACTTCCAAAAAGCTGGGATCTTATCTTATCCAGACGCAATTTCAGGTTGGTTTTCTTTTCTGACCTATTTAATTAACTGCTATGCTTGATTAATATGCAGTAAGTATGAAATGATTCTTAATGATGAGGAAAACTGTTCATTTAAACGCCTTTGAAATGGTTTTAAGTGGCTGTTGCGATCATTCGAGTAATAATTAATCGGGAACAGACTATAAATTTCATTTTTCTTTTCTGGTTTAGCTGTTCTGTTGTGAAACAACTTGAAAACTTTCTTGGACATTATTGATTGGGGTGTGCTTTACTGTATTTCAAATTGTGCGTTCTTTGCTTTTTAAAATAGCATCTTCTTTCTAAGTGGCATGGCATGACTGCACTTAATATGGCTGTTGTAATTAGGAGTTTTTGGCGATGGCCATTGTAAATTATGATGTTGTAGGATTCTCTGCTTTATGTGTACTACTTCTTAGTTGAGATCTACCATCATTTGATGATGAAGTGACTAGTGCTCTGCTGTGCCTGTTGCAGTCTGCTGCTAATTCTAGTGCTCTTTTCCTAACTGCTGCTGCTCAAAACCTGCTGTGTCTTAAATTAGCAGAGGAGCTTGGGGTGATAATTGCAAATCCATGGGTTACATGGTTTAAAGCAGCTAGTTTACCTGCATTGATTTCTCTCCTTGCCACACCATTGATTTTATACAAATATATCCACCTCAAATTAAAGACACACCAGAGGCACCTGCTGCGGCTGCAGTCAAACTGGAAAGTATGGGTCCTGTCACCCGAAATGAATGGATTATGATTGGTACAATGCTGCTCGCAGTCTCTCTGTGGATCTTTGGGTATGTCAGATATCTTATTTTAAATAATTTGAAAAATTAGCTGTTATTTCAATCCAATGTATCAATAATTATGTTGTTGTGATATTTTATATGCATGATTGGTGTGATAATTTTATATGCAACTTTCAAACTCAAATAGATGGAATTCATATTTTATAAGAATGTATTTGACAGTTAGTGAGTGTCTTGCTATGCCAGTATTAGTGGCTATCACACACACACGCACGCGCGCGCGCGCACACACAATACCAGCATAACATGATGCACTCAAGTCTCTAACCAGCAAATGATTTTTTATTTTTAATAAATTTCGTAGTTCATCTATGAGACAGGGTGTTTGGCCAAAAAAAAAAATCTATGAGACAGGGTGTATATTTAATTTGTTTATCCTTTGGTTGTAGCACGTGGAAAAAACTGAAATGTAACTTTTTAAAATGAAACAGAGGGTGCGAGTTATTTTGTGAGAAGTACTCTCCAATCTCTACATTGTTTGGGCCTATATATTGTAACATTTTGAAGTAACATTTTGAAACTGAAAATGTAACATTTTGATGGAGATCTTTCTTATTTATACTGAATTCAAACAAGAAGAATACATCATTATAACATTTGATGTCTACCTAGTACCTATGCATTACCTTATCATTGCATCTGTATTGATGTTTCTAGCAGTGTGAAACTTATTGCATGTGCACATGATTATTCTCTCAATGAAAGTTCTAAATGAACTATTTGTGATCAATATTTCTTAATCCTGCAGAGAGACTCTCGGCATACCAAGTGTTGTTGCTGCAATGATTGGCTTATCCATACTCCTTGTATTAGGAGTCCTTGACTGGAATGATTGCTTGAATGAAAAGTCAGCATGGGATACCCTGTCTTGGTTTGCCGTTCTAGTGGGGATGGCTGGCCAGCTGACAAACCTTGGCATTGTTGGTTGGATGTCTACTTGTGTGGCCAAGTCTCTTCAGTCTTTCTCTCTGAGCTGGCCTGCTTCGCTGCTTGTTCTTCTGGCATCTTATTTTTCCATCCATTACGTTTTTGCAAGTCAGATTGGACATGTCGGGGCTTTATACTCTGCATTCCTTGCTATGAACCGGGCAGCTGGTGTTCCTGTTGTGCTGGCAGCACTTGCTCTGGGTTATGTCACTAATCTTTTTGGTTCGATAACACACTATAGTAGTGGTCAGGCTGCTGTATATTATGGAGGTATGGCTCTCCCTTCAACGCCTTAGTTTGTTTGCTAAATTTCCCTCCAGCTATTCTACTCTTCAGCTTGTGTTTGCTGTATAATTAAGTTATATTTGACCCATGCCTATTGGGCCATGGCCCTGCGGAAGAGAATAACCAAAAGAGCCTAGACTTAGAAGAGGAAACAGTGAGCTGGCAAGGAGAGAAGGAGAGAGAGGGAATTGGTTAGTGAGATAGGTATATATTGGACAGGTTCAGGGAGAGTAGGGGGTAAGCAAGGATTGAGTGTTGTGTGGAGTGACCTAGCCACTTGAATGAAAGATAGAGTGTGGTGTGCCGCCATTCTTTTCCCTGTCATTTTCTACCTATGTAATTCATCTGATCCAATATTCTCTATTTCATGTTGAATTAAAAAGTATATTTCACCAACTAAGGTTGACATGAGTGGTAGAGGCTCTCGTCGCTAAGCAAATGGTTGGGGGTTCAAACTCCAGTCCTAGTATATGTAGCAATTTAATTAGGAGAGACCTACCAATTTGCTCTCAGTATTTCAGGAGAGATATTCTTTGCTATCGGCGGAGCCTACTTCTTATGCTTACAAAAAAGAAGTATATTTCAGCTTTCATTACGTAAATAATGATACAAGATTACAGTGGGTTCCACGTGTCATGGTTCTAGTGCATATATCTATCCCTCTTTCTTATGAACTTGTATACAACAATCTTTTTCTGTTCTGATGCATTTTTTTCCCTTCTTTCTCCCTCTCATCTTACTCTTGTAATTATTTGGTTGATGCTACTATTCAAACACCTGCCAAAATTAATCTTCTAGGAGATCATTTTTCCCTGTACACTTTTGTTGGCTTTGGTAGCAACGCGCAACGACGAGGCTATTCCTAGTGAATTTGTGTCTAATCTTAATTCATCAATCATCATCTCCTCCCTGCTCTTTCTTTTTCATCAATTTCAAGATATGTTAAAGCCTGGTAGCTGATGATATTATAATTTTTTTGGTCTTTTTTGACAGCTGGTTATGTTGACCTTCCGGATGTATTCAAAATCGGGTTCATTATGACTGTTTGTAATGCTATCATCTGGGGAGTAGTTGGCTCTTTCTGGTGGAAATTTTTGGGCTTGTATTGATTTTCCATTTCAATGTAAGTAATATCAGTTTTCCTTGTTTCAATCGGCCACTCTTCTTCGCAGCCAAAACACCAGGTCTTCCATCTGAGGACAGTTGAGCTCATCATTATGCCATGATAACTTAAATCTGCCTTTTGTTTTATTCATTAGGTTATGTTTGTTTACTAGAATGGAATGGATTGAATTGAAAAAATCAATATAAGAATGAACTAAATCACCCTTCTCCCTATGATAAGCATGATAAAGCTTATTAATATATATTACAAATGTGATAATCATTATACCCTTTAAAAATTTCATGAATTATGATTCTCAATTCCATAAATTAAATTATCACTCTCTCTTATGAATGTGCTCACCTATCTCTCTTAATCATCTTATTTTTATTTTTATTTTTTCAATTCATTCCATTCAATTATATTCTAATAAACAAACGTAACTTTAGTTAATTTCTTTATGTTATCATTACTTTAGTGCATAGAGTCAACAATATATAGATAATTATTTTGGTGCAAATATAAATTGAAGATTTGAAACTGATTTGATCTTCTTTTTCGTGGAGGTTTGCATGTGTACTTAACAAAACTAGCTTTTCAGCATTTATATATTTTAACTTATTGAGCCCTCTTAAAAACCAGGAAAGTATTGGTGATATAATTTTTCCTGTCATTTGAACTAGAGATTTGAGTCTGCATATCATTCGTGTCGAATTTGGATTAGCACTCTGTATCCAAAATCCTAAGTGGGTTGAGATATTCAATGTGCCAAAAGTCTCTGGTGAACTTGTCCTATCCTAGCTTCAGGACTCTACCCGGTAAGAGAGTAAGAAATTGACGTGCTTTGTGTAGATACCAGGCGAAGGACCAGCAAGTAGGTAAAAGGTAGCAAAATAATGTGAAAAGGGTTAAAAACTAATTAAGAAAAGACAGTGGAAAGGAGAAAAGGGAAACAGGACAAGCATATTATAAAGGAAGCTACAAAACACAAAAAAATGCTCCTTGCAATCTTTTTTACAAGAAACTATTAACCACTTTACATAGATTAAGGAATTTTGTTAAAATTAGTTAATATTTTTTAAAGGATAAAAGGGCAAATATATCCACAAAGAGTCAGTTAGGGGCATTTAGTATTTTAAAGTGAGAAAAAGGATAAAAATACTCATAACGTTATATGAGTGGGTGCAAAAGTAACTAGATCATTAACTTTGATTGTTAAATGTTAATTGTACATGTCATGTGTTAACTTTTGCTGATGTGTATTAATAAAAGGGTAATAATATCTACAACATTGTTGGTCAAAAGCAAAAACAACCATAACATTATCAGAGTTAGTGTAAAAGTGATCAATTCATTAAATCTCTTAAGTGTTGATCGATTAACTGGCATTTAAACAAAAGTTGACTATTTTGCTGCTGATGTAGATAAAAAAAATTTCTAAAAAATTTTTTATGGATGTTGATCCATCATCATATGAGTATCTATAATTAGTGACAAATTCATCAAAATTCATGCCATATGGTTTTTTTTTCATTAATACACATCTCGCCTCCTTCCTTCCTTCCTCTCTACTCATTTTTATTATTTGCAAAATTTGATATTCAACATAGTGAGATAAATTATACACAATCGAAGATCAAGACTGAGCACATCTCCTGCACCATCCTACCTTAAGAACATTGTTACAACCTTAAGCATTTTCATTTATGATAGGTTTAAAATTTTCAAATAGCTTTCGTCATTGTTATAAAGAAACAAGTAATTTAATTTGATATTCGGTCAAAACAGCATTTTCTCACATGATATTCATACAATGATCGATTAACTTTAGAAAATTTTATTGGGAATATTGTTTGTCCGTGTCGATGAAAAATGGTCAACTTTTGTTTGGGTATCAACTAAACAATCAACATTTAAGGAATTTGATGGATTAGTCACTTTTGCACTAGCTTTGATAACGTTATAAGTATTTTTGTTCCTCGCCGACGATTTCATGGGTATTTTTGCCTCTTTATTAGTCCACGTTAACAAATTTTGACACGTTGCATGCATAGTTAGCATTTAACGATTAAAATTAATGGTTTGGTCACTTTTGCACTTACTCATATAACGTTGTAAGTATTTTTACCCTCTCACTCATTTTAAAATATTGGGTGTCCTCAGTTGATCACTTTGTAGATATTTTTGCCTATTTATCCTTTTTTAAATTACCCTCAATGGAGTTCATTGATTAGAAGAGCTTGTTTAGTTAGATAAGATTTCTTTTAATTTGTTAGGGAATATCAAATCAAAGGACATATAGGAAAAAAATTGAGGTTTTAGACAAAGAACCTTATATTAATCATGGGAAGGGTCTTATAATAAGAAATGTTGGGAGTATTTGCTTAAAACAAGTGAAACTGCAATAAAGATGTCCACCAATTGAAACCTTAATTGATGACACATAATATTTGTTTCTCAAATAATTACCATTATTAAAGTCGGTAATTTGAGCCTAGCTTAAATCCGCCCAAAAAAAGTTAGGACCGGGTTTGATTATATGAGTTTTTTTAAAAAAATAGGATACTTCAAGTTCGATTTAAATAAGTCCAACCCTCTTAAATTACTGGCTTTGTCCATTATACTGATGACCATGGCATTCACCGCTGAAGTCTTGCATTTGCAAGGGATAGAATAGCTTACTTTTGGGGCTTGATTATTGGTATGATTATGGCTTATGTTAGTTAATGTTTAATGTATCTAATTTTTGTTCTATGTTTTTAGAAGTAAAATCCCAAAAATATCACTTGTTTGGTGATCTCGTTTGGTGTAAAGTAAAGGCAAGGGAAAGAGAAAGCTGATTCCTTCGTTATTGATGTCTGGTAGATGGGAAGGCCTTCCTTGATTATGCTTTTATGTATCTATATTTTATTTGTTGTCTTCTTTCTGTTTTTACTTTTTAGATTCTAGGACTTCGCTGCTTTAATGGTGGTTTTATTTTAAGGGCTCATCTGCTTCCCTGTACAATTTCTTCTTTCATCATAAATAAAACATTTCATTGTGATCATTTTCTGAAAATTTTCAAAAAAGCTTACAGCTAATGATTTTTCAAGGAAACCATGAAACAGAACGAAAGGAAATTGCAATAAAGAAGCCATGGGTTCAAGATAAGGGGCAGAAAAAGAAAAACAAAACAAAACAAAAGAGAGACATTGCTTCAGAAAATGCTTGAAATGAGAAGATATTGGTCCTTGTGACTCAACTCATCTAAACATTACTCTTCATTGTCACAAAAAAAAAAAAAAAGACCAGAAATTACTCTAGGCCTACAATGTTCTTGGGTGTGCTGGCAACTATAAAATTAGACAGGATAAAAATGGATCCACCTTGCAAACATTTCGTAGGATTTTTTATTGTAGTACTCTGTGGGAGAATGCCCTGACCCCTGTTTTAGCCACAAACACAAAACATTAGTTTTATGCATTTCATTGATATCTCTTGGAGGAATAACTTGTGATGATTTTCCTTACCTTCACAGTTAAATATGTCAAGCGATATGAATAACTCTGATATATAATTTTGTACCTGCACCAACAACTAATACTCAGATTCGCATGAAGGATGCAGCCAACCTGTCATCTAGCTAATGCATGTTTTGCAGGTCATAACCTAGAACATATTTGATTTCACTTTAGAAACCATTAGAACTATGGTTTTAGTGGTTTTCAATGTGAAACTAAACTCGCCCTTAACTATCAATGTTGTCTTGACACTTGAGCTCAACGTGCATATAGACATGCTGGAATTGGAAAAAAATGAGAAAAGAAAAATCAACCATAGCTAGGACAAATCTGGCTGATGATATATATATAAAACATAAAATGAATATATAGGTTGTGTCATGTGGCATTTTATGTTTTGAAATTCAATGACTCTGTGTTTATGTCGATGTTGATATTCTATAGGTAAAAAAGTACGTTGTTTTTATTTTTAAGTCATCTTTTACGAGATTTTAATATTTACATTTATATGTTACTTTGGAAAACTTATGAAGCATGCCCTTGCTATGGATATTGTTATATAATTATGATGGGGAGAGAGGAATTGGGAGAGATAAGTATATTTTTGGAAATGTGTTATTTTAAGAACATGAATTGATTTTAACCAACTTCCTCAATATATGTGAATTAGTTAAAAATGACTTACACACAAGAACGAAAAAAATTATTTAAAAAAAAAATCTTTAGGAGAGCTACTAGATTTGACAATACTTGAATTTAACTTAGTTAGATAGTTATATAAAAAAAATTATATACAGAGTTGAAACTCGTGAAGACTCACCCTGCAACCTGACCATCCACAAACCAGGGACGCCAAGAATACTCTGTTGTTATATTAAGGGCTCTTAACCATTGTTCGGTGGCTAAATGTGGGACAACAAGGTCGTGATCACCCCTACAACAAGAGGAAAAAAGGTGAAACATTTTTAGCTGACCTGAGTGAATGGAACTTCAACTTCAATGTGGAAAATCTGATATGGAGTAATTTTCTTTGAAATATAATCACAACTTCCAAAAAGGAGAAGAAGAAGAAGACTCAAGATACTTACGTATAGAGCAAAACCTGTAAATCTGTTTTAGTAAAATTCTTCTGGTAGCTAAAGGCAGAAGCAATATCATGATTGTATAGTTCTTCTATGACAAGATTGCATCTGTACCATTTCTCAACAGTTCCCTATATACAATATGAAAACTATGAACGAATCATATATATATATATATAACAGAGATTTGAGATCATGAACTTGTTAATTTACAAAACTGTCATTGTGCGCACTTTTTACACCGTTGTTTTTAACTGGTGTGAAATCTCAGCGTAATAAACCTTTTTTATTCTAGTGAATAACTTTGCTTTGGTGTATATTCAATTAGTTAAACTACATTTAAATAATTTTCATAATATCTGTGAAATAGATATTGATGGCTTATATTTGATCAAGATATAAAACCCTTTTATACATGAGAGAAGCAGGAGACTTCAAATTAAAATACTGCAAGACAACCAAAAAAAAAAAAAAATCTACCTCTCTAATACGAAGTGCTTCTTTAACAGTCTCATTGTTTGCCCATGCATATGAAAGTGCATAAGCAGAGTTCTGCATATGAAAATTGGGTGAGTACTTAATAATGCTGTGAAAGGGCAACAAGATAAAAATGGTATACAGATGATTAACTGTAGACCTTGCACCACCATTGTGGAAAAGATAGGCCAGAGAAACGTCTTGCTTTCTCTCCTTGGAGACTTCTTATTCTTCTTCTACCAGATTGAGTTTCATCTTCATCTGGTTTTGGTGAATTAGTCACACATTTTGGACCCAAAACATTTTCAAGATATATATCATTTAGCAGCTGCAAATTTCAGATGAAAAGACAACATTAAGAACTCGGCAATACCACATTATGCAATGAGAAGGCTTTATATACTCTTTCTCTCTCTGTCTTTGACCCCATATAGAAGTCATATTCTAGAAAGCTTTTAATATTTAAAATAGTGAAGACAAGGATATTAGGAAAGATAAAATTAAAACAAGTTTACAATTTAATAAGGGTAATTTTGGAAAGTAATGAAAATTTTTGAAAGGTTCAAGAACAGGGAGGGAGGATATATACTAGGAAAATTAATTATGTGTAGGCCCGTGAAGCAAACATATTTACAAATAAGTCTCACAAACTTCATAAGCCAGAATCAGGTCTTTTAAGACTTGAGTGTAATTTAAAATTAAGGTGCAAAGATAATAATGCCCTTATTAAAAATACATTACATCAATCAAATAATTTATAACTGCTTCATTGATAATTTACAACTATTACTTTGATTTTTAATAATTATAACTTCACATATCTAATAATTAAATTGATCATGCATTAAAAGTTTAATACTAGTTATATATAACTACCTTATCAATAATTTACAATTAGTTTTACAACTATAATTTCACATATTTAATAGTTAAACCAATTTTGCGTTACTAACAAAGTTTGATACTAATTATTTACAATTATCTCATCAATAATTTACAATTATTACTTCCATAGTTTACAGCTATAATTTCATATATCTAATAGTTAAACCAAATAAGTAAGGACATCATTGTTTTGCATCCTAATTTTAATTTACACTTAGGTCCCAAGGACTTAGCTATGATTTTTGAATTTCACATAAGTTATTTGTAAATAAATTTATTTTACGGAACTTATACGTAATTTTCTCATATATATTTGTGTGTATCAGATAATTAGGTCAAACTACAGTAATTGCTTTTCTAGCAAAATGTTTGTTAGAAAAAGAAAACTAATGCTGACAAATAATTTAAAACAGGACAGAATAAGACCTCATCAATCTGTCCAAGTGCTTCTTCACATCCTTTATTTGAGGAGTCCACACTAAAATACTGTCCCTTGCAGCTCTCTCTGGCTCTCTGTGCGTGAACACAAACATTAACCAAGATAAATTTGGGAGAATTACTTTTAAGTCCCTTACATCATATTTAAATACCATAAGATCCATTAACAACTTAGCCAAAGCAAATGACAACAGACCTTGTGGTATTTAAATATGTTATAGGATACTTGTATGTAATTCTCCTAATAAATTTACATAATGGAAAAATTAAAGAAGTATGATAAAATTTGACTTCATTACCTGGTAAAGTCTGTTTCCTATGAGTCCCAATCTATAAGCTACCTCTATTTCTGCATTTGCCTCTAGCTCAATGCCTTGATGTGGAGACCCACTTATCAATCCCTAAATGCACTCATTTTTTTAAATATTTGAACATTGCAAGTAGTCATAACTCAAAACACACATCACATGTTTGTTGGTAAATCATTTATCACTCACTATTAATTTCAGGTGTGGCTTTACTCCAGCAGCATTATCTGCAGTTTAATTAAAGGACCAAGCTGGTGATTAGTGGTTGATGAAACTAAAACTATACTGAACTGCGGTTTGAGATTTTTATCTTCATCGCTTTCATATTTCAGAAGTTGAAGCTTCTTCTTCTTCTTCTTTTTTTAGGATAAAAGGTTGATTATTCATAATTACCATCTAAAATATACTGAACAATGATTGGTGCAACTATGCCGCTATAGGAATCACTTGCTATGAAGATACGGATATCCATGTACTGAGGATGTTCTGCCAGCCACTGCAATATTTGGAGTAAAAGTTACTGTCAGTAAATGCTATGACTCTTAGCTCCTGATATAGAGAAAGGAGATCATTTTTTTGTTTTACGATAAATGGCGAACACTCAATGAGATTATTGAAAGAGATCTTTTTATTAACAATACATATAAAGACTTGACTGTTAATAAAGCACAATTGTGTTATGTAATCTATGTAGCCGACCCTACCTAATAAGGTTGTTTGTTGTTGTTGTTGTAGAGTTTACATTTCCTTATTTGACCTATAACTCATTTTTATTTGTTCTGTTTTGGTCCAGTTAATTTCCTGTTTAGGCCTGGACCAACCCGATTTAACCAAGTGGAACTGGGCCCACCGGTCACTGGGTGATGCACACCTCTACTATGATCTGAAGTGTCATTAAACCGGTCCCTTGTCCTTTGTTCTATTAATAATTTATTAACTACCCTGTGAAAATTTCATGTATGTGAGTGTTAAAACAGTGAATATTTTTCAGGTGAAAAGTATGTTCCACTAAGATCTCAAGTAATTTCATGGTTTTCTCAAGCCATTATGAGAATTAAGCTAACTTTTGAAATATTTGCTTAAATCTAACAATAGCTTAAAATATCATGATACCATTCAACATATAAGTGAAACATATTCTTAATAATCTTAGCGTTTGTCATTTTATCAATGCTCTAAGTATTTTCTTTGAAATTTGGATGTTACAACAAAACAGATCAAAATTGTTTAAATGACACACTCCTAACCATAAGTTGAAATTTTAGGTTTTGGGCAAACCGTAAGGGAGTAAACAGTAAATTAATCCATATGTTAACCTTTCTTAGGAACTTGTAAGTTTGTCTTGCTGATGATGTGTCTGATACGACCAAACCTTCTGGGTCATTAGCGTAGGAGAATCCAGTTCCCACAGGTGCATCTAGGAATATGATGCTAGCAGTCTGCCAAAGTTGATGATGAAATTAACATTATGTATGTATGTATGTATGTATGTACAAATTACACACCACTATGACAGAAAAATACCACTCTTCACCTTTGTCCATGCATAAGGTCTTAAGTATAATTCTGGCAAACCCCCATTATAGTGAGAATCATTGAAAGCCAATGGACCTGCAAGAAAACCACCAGAACCATATTTAACTAGTTGGCTTGGTTTCCAATGCAAAACCAAACATGCACTAAAACAGATAATGGTGTTTAGCTTCTTGAAAGATTGCTAAATGCTGACATGGAACTTTATTCAAGTTAATAGAACTACGTAATCCACAAATAAAGACTATTTGAGCGACCATAGCTTATAGGAAGAAGAAAAAGAATACCAGTTTGATAGAAGAATCCATTAAAACCAGAACAGCCAGGACCTCCCACTAAGTATAGCAGAAGAGGATCAGTTCTTGGGTGCCCAGTAGATTCCACAAAAATATAGTACAGTTCTGATTGCTCCACTCCTATATATCTTCATCATGCCAAAAAAAAAAAATCACAATACAATGAACAATGAGTTATGCAAATACACAGAAAAATATCAAACATAGTGAAGCTGGCTTGAAATATGAAGGAATATTGAGTACCCGGATTCTAGTTTGAATGGGAGTTCACCAGGAAATCCAGGAAGAGTCTTGACTATGTGGCCACAATCTGCATTTCTGAAGAGAAGCAGAAGAAGCAGTAACTGTGTGAAAAGCCAGGTTGCTAAGTTAAGGTGAAGATACGGAGCCATTTTCTCTGTGTAGCTCAAACAGTGAATGAACTTGAAGACACGTTGATGTTTATAGTATCACCTGTGCATCTCTTAAATGGTCCTGACGTATCATCAATTCCCAGGTCTTCAACCGATGTTCTTGCTTTCCTTAGGACCCGTAGTTTGGATTTTTTTTGACCTGAATGTTGGTTTGATTCGGCCAGGAGAATTGAATGTTTTTGCGTTGGAACATTGTGCTTGTTGAATTTTTGAAGAGTTGTGCTTCGCTTTGGTTGATGATTTTTTCTTGTAGGCATGGCTGATTGATTTATTTTAATTTTTTTGTTGAGAAAAATGACAATTACAGAACTTGTTAAAGTATTAATGACAACTAAAAATCTTGAATTATTGAAATATAAAAAGACCATAGTCTTTGTTTATAATTAAAAATAAATAATTATTAAAATAACCAGTAGAATGTAACTCATAAATTTAAATTTTGTTACTTGTGAATCAATGAAAAGTTACTTATAAATAAATAGATAGTTTTATAAATTTATGTGCCATTATTTACAAATTTAATGATAGTTATCAGTGAATTTTGGAAAAGCCATTAGTTTATTTATTAAAATTTAGTTGTAAATGAATAGTCTCATGAATTTATATGTAATTTGTGATTCAGAAACAATCAATTGTGAATTACTTGTGAATGTATGAAACCTCAATTGCAAATGGATGTGAATAGTCTCAATAAATTAGAGAAAACCTCCTATATTTTAAATATCCATTTTCAATTAACTTTTCATAAATTTATAAATAATTTTTTAAAAATTTAAAAGTAATTATTTTTAAATTTATGAGTGACAATGTATATATTTATAAAACTATATATTCATTGATAATTGACTTTTCATATATTTACAAATGATCTTTCTTAAATTTACAATCAATTTTTTTTAATTCATGAGTAACTTTCCTATTAGTTATTTCAATAATTGGAATTAGAATTATTTTAATTGTAAATAAAGATTATGGTGTTTCTCTAGCATTTCAATATTTTAATGTCTTTAAATGTTATTAATATGTTTACAAAATCCATAATTATCATTTTTTCTGTTTGTTGGGAATTTAAAATTTAGACTATAGGTCTCCAATGGTCTTGGACCTATAATTTGAGGGTAAAATTATTCTTTTACTTTTTGAAAATGTATTCTGAAGTTGTTTTTCCCCCCTATTCTCTAGTATCTAAAGTTTAAAATGAACAAAAAATACAATTTCGAACTCTAATTTAATATTTTGTCTCATTGAATATTTTATTGTAATATTAAAAAAATTCAACTTTTTGGACACAGGCTATTTCAACTTCGAAGTTTCTCCATCCATATCTCACTGTCAACCACCCAACTAGACGTGGTCAATTTGGTCAATTGGTAAATTTTTGAGCACGTGTAATTTAATAGAAAGAGACGAGTCAGTTACTTGGCATACGACGGTTCGGTAAAATGTATGATGTAACCCCCAGTCAAAATAACTCGTTTACCCAGTGGCCACATGGGATTAGGTTCACACTGTCCTTTTTGTTTCGGTTTTATTTTTTTTTTTTTTTTGCCTTAAAGTTGATTTTGGCTTCATTTACTTCAGCAATTTACCATTGAGAACAAGGTACAGACAATATCTTCATGCAAAATCTGAGTTGAACTTGCCTGGTTGAATCAATAAATTAGTATACTAATATCTTGATCAATTTATTAAAATATTTTATTTATGACTCATTTGATCATGGTTTGATTATAATTTTAACCATTAACCTTTAAGTTAATATTTTGATTGGTTCAATAACAAGTCTAGTTTTTAATAGAGGGTGTTCACAGGACAAAATGGGATCGAGACACCCATGTCCTGTATCCCGTCCCGTTAAGAATCAAGACAGGACTAAGATAAGAGCGAGACGTCCTACTGTCCTGATAAATTAGACAACATCAAAGAAAGATCTAGATAATAACATTCATTAAAATTTTAAATCATATAATTAAGTTCAAAATTAAAATAATACAAGTACATAAATCACAATAATTTAAAATTAATTATTGAATTATATTAATCACAACTACACATTATAATAGCAATTATAAGTTATTTTTAGGTTATAAGAGCAGCAACAACATGCAAGTCAAACACAATATTAAATTATTATTCTTCTACTTTAGTTGAGATGTGCTAAGCTAATTACTTTTCTGAAAATAAAGTAAGAAATACGATATAAATAAAAGTTATTAAATAGATAGATATAAAAATAAATTATATTGATATAATTAATACCTTATAAAAAAGATATCACCTTATTTATTTTATGTCATTAAAATTATTAATATAAAAAACTTTTGTTTTAAATAAGAATTACATGCATTGAATTTATAATTGATATAATTAAGATATTTAATGTATATTTTTAAAATAAAAAATAATATATATATATATATATATTTTTGTATGTATGTATAATATTCGAGACAAGATATCACGTCACAATGCTAATCTTGTGTATCATCTCGAACCTCTTTCCTATCCCGTCCTGTTTTCAAGCCGAGACAAGACCCATCCTAATATAATAGAGATGATATCGAGTTAATTGAGACGAATACAAATTAAATACTCCTAGTTTTTAGTGCAATAGGAAGATGAAAGTGACGGCCATGCATATGTTCAATTTTGAATACATGGGACATGGCTTTGGTTTAGGTCAACAAGAAGATGAGGTTTTGCATTTGGATGTGAAAGAATACATTCAATCAATTAAAAGGGGTTGCATTAATGGTATGATTGGGACTCAAGTGAGTGAAAATGTCTATTTTTATCCGTTAAAATCTCTTGTTCTATTTTTTTTTTTTGGTACTTAATTTTAACAAACTACATTTGTTGTTTACTTGTCTTCTTATTCTTTGTTTTTTTTTTCCCAGGGAAAAATAGTTACATTTCTGGTCTGATTTAGCCATTCAGTGTAGATTGGTCACAATGTTTTTCCCTTTTTCCCCCTTAGAATACAATCAGGAGGCTGAATCTTGGAGCAACTCAGCAACTAATCTAGACTCTAAGAGATCAAGACGGAAATCATTTCTCATAATAGTTCTACATAATCAGGAGGGCAAATTAAGTGATTTGAGGGGGAAAAATGAAAGATAAAAAAGATTGAAATCTTATATTTGGTGACTCTTGAAATCCAACTCACTTAAATTTTTCATTTAAAAAAAAGATTGAGATCTTATTAAGATAAAACAACTAAATTCTACATTTAATATTGGATGGATTATGTGTGAGTGTGTATCATGTGTGTGTAAAGAAAATTTTAGTAAAGGACTACAGTAGCAACATAATTTAAAATTAAGACTAATAAATTTTACAATCATAATAATACAAGATTAAGGGATCAAATTAAAAATATGTCTCGGTAATAAATGAATAAACCCTCCCATAAAATAAAGAATTACCCCCACCACCGCCGGAGTGTCAATCGCCAGATCACCATTGCCAACCATTAGAGCTACAGCAATCATTGTTGCAAGTTAGAATTCAGGCAAAATATAATTGTTTAAAGGTGATTAAGGAGAGTTTGAATTTATGATCATAAAGTTCACCAAAAACAATATGACCACTGTACTATTAATACTTCTTAAAAATATATTACAAAATATTACACACACACCAAGTTCACTTGTGTTATGGTGACTTATTAAAAGCATAACATAACTTGTCATACTTATTAAAATCATAACTTAACTTATTATTTTAATAATACTTGTAATTTATTAAAAGAACTTGTTAAGGTTGTGGTAGCTCCAGCAATGATGGGAATATTTTTTATTTTAATGGAGGGTATTTTGATCATTTTTCATTAGGATATATTTTCAATTTAGTCTTTAGTCCTAATTTTATATTATATTGCTACTATGGTCCTTTACTGAATACAACATCTACTAGGGAGAGTCTTCAAAAAGTGATGGATACCAAAATTTTAGAACATGGGTGTTGGGCAGTTGGGGCGTTAGAGAGAAAAATTGTAAGTATTCAATAGAAAATGAGATATAATTGAAGAAGATTTGGCACCTAAAATGTGAGAAAATAGATTATGGTTCAAAAGGGGGAAATGATAATTTTAGGAATGAGAAAATTGGACTCGTCCCCTTCCCCTTCATCCCTCCATTGTACTTAGAAAAGATTTGGAACGTATAAATTTAATATTTTTTATTTTTTATATTTATTAAAATAAAAAAGTATCTATACTGTTTAAAGTATATTTGAATAATTAATTTATAAAAAATTTAATATTAAATTTAAATCACCATCCTGGTGATTATATTTATTAAAACGTTTTATATTTTTATAATTTTTTAATAAATATAAAATTAAAATTAAAATTAAAACTTTAAACTTAGACGGTCCAGATCTTTTGCAGGTACAATGAAAGGGCGGAGGAAAAATGACGCAGAAGAGAGAAATCAAGTCTGAAAAAATTACCATCTTCCTCCTATAAGGAGGGAAGATAGCGTCTTGAGACCGCGAAAGTGGAAAATGACATTTGAAGACCTTTTTTATTCGAGAACATCCTCAGTTAAATTGGAAAAATATTTGAGGATGCAACGATATGCCATGTAAATTGCAATAGGAAGATATAAAAATTGTTGGTTTGTTGGAAGACAGTTTGGTAAAAAGAAGTAAAGAACCATTTAACCCACAGTCAAAATAACTAACAAATGTCCTTGTGACTCCCGAGCATCCTTCAGTCCTCAAAGACGGTGAAGCACAAGGTTGAAGAAGGTCAAGAGGATGAAGTGAAAATTATTGAGGAAAAAAAAAAAAGAATTAAAGTGCACTTTTGCTTATCTACTTTTATTCGAACAACGATGAATACCTATACTAAGTAAAATATTTTTCTCTTAAAAAAGATTTTTGCTCTTTTGAAAAGTTATTTAGAAAAAAAAAAAATACACCACTTATTAACACAATATACCCAATGCTCTTTAAAGAAAGTGTAGAGACAAAAAATACATTTTAATTTAAAAATAAATATTTGTGACAGTTTTAGTTTAAACAATGATTACTTTTCTTTCCTCAGTAGATGTTATCTCCACCAAATTCACTCTACATTTATTTTATAATTGTCGTTGATGCGGCCAACAACACAATCTCGCTCAAGTGCATGTGATTAAGCAAGCAATTAGAATTTAATATCGCGTTTAATTTTATCAATACTTAAAAATTATTAACATATATGTAATTAAATCTTGCTGGCCTACGAGCGAGCACTAAGTAGAGTGTGAATTGATAATGATATTGTCTTAATTCTAAGTCGATTTTAAAGGCACATGAGCTCTCCATTACTCTGCATTTATCAGAAACTTGAGTTTAAACTGAATCAAAAGTATAGAAATACAAGGATCAAGATTAATTTTCCTTCAATACATCTACAACTTTAAATCTGTTAGCCAACATCTAGGTCTTGCGAGAGACACCTTAGAGAGTGACGAGGACAATCTTATATCAGGGTAATTATCTGACATCTCCCACATCTCACGAACACAAAGGTAATAGAAAATATCCAATATAAAAACCTTTCACTGCCTAACAGTAAACTTGTACACTACACAGCTAGCTAGTAGCTACTTCTTCCCTGACCCAATACTGCAATAGAACATTGAATGATGGATATATCATGTATTGTTGGGACGTATATATCATTAAGGCGTGCATGTATGGTGACAGCGTGTATAAATACCATGCAACAAAAAGCACAAATAGTAAACGGAATGCCCTTGTTGAGAAGAAATATCAGACATGCATTGTTGCACAAAGAGAAATATCTAACCACCGACACAACGAGGTCAAAATGTTCTAATGATCATGAATACGTGCTCATATGGCCATTACTTACTAAACAAACTAGTATTAATAGTGCCTCTGTTCGAGGATGGTGTCCATCATCTTAAAACTGCAGTTTAAAAGAACATCATCAATTCTGGTCTACTGTATACATTGTTCTGCTCGTCCTCCAGGATGGGGTAAGCAGCTACAAGAGCATCCTGAGCTCCGATGTAAAGTGAGTTGTAGATCTTCCAATACACTTCCCTAACCTTACGTGCTGGGTGAAACAGCCCTTGGAGACAGTAATTGAGAATAACGGCAGCACCCAAAGCTACCCTCATTCCTTCAATGGCTTCCATAACAGCGTTTATGACATGAGGAGAGGTCTCAAATATGTTTGGCCAGACATAGTTCAGCAAATGGACCAGAGCATCTTCACAACCCAGACCAGCCACACCCAAAGCCATGTGCTTCACAGCAGAAGCAGCAGTCTGCCTGTGAACCAAATCCCTGTCCATGAGGGCATCCTCAAGTAATGGAGTCACAGCATAGATGTAGTCTTTTCCCATTTCACCAATGTACTCGAACAGGAAAGAGAGGGATTTCAGGACACCATTTTGGACGTTGAGCTCTGGCACACGATACTCGTTCATCAAAGCAGGCAGGACTGTAAAGGGTGAACAGGTTTCAGCAACTATAGCAATAGCGACAGTCGTGCAAACACGATTTTGCCTCTCCTGCACCTTGAGGTTATTCAATAGAGTGGCCAGGACATCCTGTGGTCCAATGGCTTTGGCAATATATCCAAAAGTGTTCACTGTAGCACGACGAATTCCCTTCTTGTGTGCCTTAAGCATCTCAAGAAGCTCAAAACAGATTCTCATCCACTCTCTTGCAGGCACAAACTCTGCCCCACGGTCAGCAATTCTACCTACAAGATCAATACAGTTCTCCTGGACCTTCTCATGCCTGTTCTTCAAAATTGGGGTTAACCGTGGTAGCAGATCCTTGATAGGCGGAGTCATCTTCGTCATACCTATAACATTGACAATGGACTTGAGTGCTCCAAGAATTGATCCTAAAACTTCAGGATACTCTTCTCCCAGATACTCGTACAATACAACACCAAGATGGCCCATCAATTGTTCTTCTTGGCACTGCTTCATGACCACAGCAATTCTTGAAATAAGATCCGCTGCTTGCTGCCTCACCTTTGCACTCTTGTTATTTAACCGCCACTTGATGGTACCACAAATCTGAGGAAGATAAGGTTTCACTCTCTGCCCAAGAGCATTCACAACTGCACCAAATCCGTTAAGCATCACATTAGCATCATCACTGGTTTGCTCTTGGAATGCATAAAGAATACCATCGATCAGTAGCTCTTCCAAGCGAGAATCTATGTCAGCTGCACCCAGGTTAGTAACAACCTTTTCAATAGTTTCCATCACCATTCGCCTGTAAGGTTCACTTTCATCTTTAAGGTCCTCAACAATTCTCCCAACTATATCAGCAACACCAACTTTGTTGGCTATCTCTACAGTTGTATCTACAAGTTGCCTATAGTTTCTTCTATCCAAAGCCATCCTCCTAACCCAGAAATTCCTGAAAAACTCTGGCAGAATATCATTCCTAATATAATCAGCCTCCACACCCTCAGTGCTAACACACTGCTTCACCACTTTCAAAACAATTTTCTTCATTTCTTCATCAGGTGACTGGAATTCACGAATCAAAATCAGCATGACTTCCTTGGTATAGTAACTGGCATACAGAGCTTCCATCAAAGGAATAATAAAACCGATGGCCTTCAGAAATGCAGCCAACACCTTTCCACGGTGCTGTCTTATACCCTTCCACAGAGGCTTCAGTACAGAGTCAAAACTTTCAATTCCATAAGGAGCAGCAGCCTCAGCTAGAGCAGCAAGTGACAATGCAGTGATTGTTCTCACCTTCTGATTCTCATCATTCAGTCCATGCTCTATAATTTCCACAAGAGACCTCAAATGTGGCAAGACGGCACAACCAATCAAGATGGCTATCTGTTGAACAATCTTAATCCCAGTATGCCGGGCTTGCCATGATTTCTTACTCTGACACACAGCCTTCAAGAAGGGTAAGAGTGCAGGAATACCAAGTGCAGAGGCAACAACACTGAAAGCTCTGGCAGTAGTGTTCCTAACATATTCATCAATATTGTCAATATCAGGCCGCATTGCTGCAATCATTGTGGCCAAGCCAGCCGCTTTACTCAGATTGGAGATGATTTCCCTGCCCTCCACACGTGCGTAGTAATCTTCATCAATTAGTAGAGGTTCAATAACAACAAGAATCTTATGGACATAAGGCCTAACCAGCTCATCCAATTTATACAGAACTCTATCAATAACCTTAACCAAAAGATGCCTTTCTTGATCCTCAAGAGTAGGTTGCATGAGCAATGGTAGGATCCTGTTAAACAATGGCCCTGCTCCAAACTCACGTGCTTTGTCTGTAAGCTGTCTTAACGCAGTTTTCCTTTGTGGTGGCGTTCCATTCTTAACTTTAAGCAGAAGCTTCATAATCTTACGCTCCTTTTGTTCTTCTGGTGACAATTCCTCTTCATTTTCTTCATTCAACAATGCCCCAAAGTATTGGTAATCTTCAGGTTTCATGAATGGCAAACCACCAGGTGCTTCCTTGGGAACATCAAACTGCTGACCACGGTTCTCCTCTGGGATTTGATAAAGAGGGGTCCCCAGCGGAGTTGGGGTAGCAAGAAGCTTCCTCGCAGGTGTTCTAATAGGCACATATGAAGCAGGAGGCTCCAATATCTTATATCCTTCTTGGGGAAACATGGCATCAAGTTCCTCGTCTGTTAATGGACGATTCCTCTCTTCAATATCCCTCTCCCATCTCAATAAATTATATTGCTCTGGAGTAATAGCACCCCGCAAGTTAATTGCCCCAGGAGTTGGAGTAGCCAACTCAACTCCTCCAACCGGAGTTACGCCTGGTGTATAAGCAGCGGCGGGTGTGGCACCTGGCAGCGGTGTCGCACTACCCATTGTAGCAGGTGTCTCATCCCATCTTGATCTCTGCCTCTTAGGAGTTGGCGTAGCCATGCCAGAAAGTTTTGGGGTGGCATCCCAAGTCATACCAGCAGGGGTTGCACCAGGTGTAGCACCACCGGCCGGAGTCGCATCAGAATCAGCCAGTCTTCCAGGTGTAGGAGTTTCATCCCACCTATTCCTCCTTCCTGGTGTCGCATCCGTCACTCTCCCAGGGGTGGGAGTTGCATCCCATCTACCAGGTGTTGTATCGGGCATATCCCAGTCTGAAGTCTTCGCCTTCTTCGCCCCTTCATCCTGAGACTGGTCCCATCTATTTCTTCTCTTAGGCGCTGCCGCAGCATCAGCTTCCTTCCCCTTCTCCGGAGCAGCCTTAGCCGCTTCTTCTTCCTCCTTCTTCTTCTTCGCAATAGCCCTCAGAGTCTCCTCTTTCTCCCTCTTCAACGCCTCCTCCCTCATCACATCCGCATACGTCCTCACTGCCGGGTCAGGGGTCTTTTCACCAGCAGCAAAAGGATCGTGCCGCTCCGGCGATATAATCCGATTCAACCTCCTCTGCCTATAATCATCTTCTCGATCAATAATTCTCTGCGGCTTCCTGAATCCAACATCCGCATCTGCATCACCGACACCGGGCATATCCTTCATCAAGGATTTCGGAGCAGTGTAAGACGCCAATTTCCGAGCAACCTCGTTGTCCATAGCATCAAGATTCTCCTCATCCTCGTTCGCTGGGATAGAAGTGAGATAGGCATCTTTGTCGCTCCCGCCATAGAGATCCGTATCGAAGGTCACCGACGTGAGAGATGCCAACTGCTGCTCCAACTTCTTCCGCTCTTCCTGCGTCTTCGAAATCTCAGGGTCCAACGACGCCATTGCTGATAGCTTCGAAATTAAACTATCTCAGTAGGTCAGTAGTGTTCCAAAACCCTAGCTCCTGAAACATACACCAAAAATTACACTTCTTGTTCGCAGCAACCAAAATTAGATGTCAAAAGAAAAGTAGATAAATTGAGATGCGAAGAAGCCAAAAGTAGAGAGGTATGTAAATTGAGAAAAAGCCTCACCGGTATCCAATTTGATAGGTTTAATCCTTTATTTCGTATCTGAAATTTCTGGGATGAAATTCAATCACAATCTCAAAGATCAATCGGAGCGCAAGTATAAAATAACGAAGGGATTATGCATTGAGTCGGCAAAAACTATATCGGGCCGGGTTTAGCAGTACTTAAAATGGGTCTGTGTCTAATTGGGCTTGTGCTATAAAAACAAAATACAGGGCTAAACCGGCTTTAAAATTGATGTGTATATGAATTAAAGTTCTTTGATGAATTATTTATAATCAGTAATTAAGTTAATAACAATGATGATACTGATAATAAATTTATTTTAAATATTCTTAACAAATCAAATAAATCCTTCATGTTTGAATAGTTTATAAATACTTTTTTGAAATTATAAATACTTCTTGCAATCATTTGTGTTCATAAACTTATATTTATTTTCTTTTAAGCAATTTAAGGTCACTTGTCACTACTTAGGCACGCCATTTATTTTAAAATATATAAAATTTAGGAATATGGAAAAAAAAAATCTTGAGTATTAGAAATTAATCTCAAGAAAATTGGCTTCTTCAAAATGATTTCCTAAACTGTGGTATTATTTGTAATGTTTTGAAAGATGGATTGGGTGTTGAATTAAAATAGTCAATGGGTCTTGATTTTTAAAGTATAATCAGTTAGATGGAAAGTTAAATTGATGAGGTAAAAATTAAATAAAAATAATATTATATATATAAATAATAAGTTCATAATATGTGTAATTGTTAGTAGAATAACATAATATGATCATAAATTAATAATATATTATAAATTATAATTTTATAACTTGATAAATATATGTGAATCTGTTAAATAAGGTATGAATAGGTTCTAAGATATCTCCATTTGTGCTAGTAGTTGTCAACATCTTCTTAAAAAAATGGTCCATGATTATATTATATTATATTATATATATGTGAAGGGTCCAAAAATAAAATTGACTTTTAGTAGAGTTTAATTTTTAAATTATTTTTTTTAAATAGCCTTTTTTATATTAGATTTAGACTTATATAGTTTTTTTAAAAATTGTTTCGATTTCTATTTCAATGACAATTCAACTATGATTTGACCCTGATCAATAATGAAAACAATTTTTTAACCTAGATCAAACCATTGATGGTTTAATCATTCCAATATTATTAAAACAATGCTCATTTGGCTGGTAGGGTTTCTGAGTATGAAATCAATAATTGAAGAATTTTGAATTTAAGCATGCTTGTTAGCCGGCGTAAGATTGTAATTCCCAGAAAATATAATTCAAGCAAAAGCCCCTGAACTGGATTTTATTGTTACAATCATAGAATTGAAGATAAGAAAGTACTCTCGAAAACATATATGCTCGTACATGCTCATCTCATTTTTAGATTCTTTTATCCTTTTTTTCCCTTTTATTTTCCCATCACATTCTTATTTTTGGATTAAAAATTCAACGTTTAAGATTCAATATTTTTTTTGAATGAAGAGATTCAATATTGAATTTTTAATTTTAGAACGGGGAAGTGATTTAATATTAAATTTTGACCATGTTTTTAAATAAGTAAATAAATGTATAGATTTTTTAGCTCACCAAGTATTTAGAAACAACTTTAATAGTGCAATTCACAAGTATTCCCATTAGAATACATAAACTTTATGGTTTTTTATATAACCCAACTTGCCAGTTTATTACACGGTTTATCTATAACTTTGTATCAAAAGAAAAGAAAAGGAATAAGAATAAGAAAAGTATTAAATAGCTACCCCATCCCTTTGACATCGCCACTTTGGTCTTCTTCTCCAAACAGTCTTCAGAACTTGAGAACAAAGGTATCTCTTGAATTTTGTTCTCTCATGATTTTTCTAATTATAATTTGCGTGTTGATCACCACTATTGATTTCTGTTTTAGCTTAAGAGATGCTTGTTTCTTTTTGTTCAGGTCCCGTTGCAATTTATGCTTGATTTGTACGTGGGTTTTGTTTGATACTCTCTTCTCTTCGTCTCAATTTACAAAATATTTTTTAATAAAATTGTGCTTATCAATAAAATTCATTAAAAGTGGTTTATGTTCTATAATCTTAAAACACACACACATATATACTTTCAAAAATTATCCTTCATTTAATATAATCCTATTTGTGAAACATTAAGTGGAGAGAAAAAATATAGTAAAAAGTAAATGATAATATTAAAACATGTATAATGAATGAAAACTTACTTTTATTAAAGTATCTTGTATTTTAAGATATCGAATCATCTTCAAAAATGTCTTATAAAATGAGATAAAGGAATATATTTTTAATTATTTGGGTGTTGGTTGATATGTGATATATCTAAGTGGTTGTGGATGTTTTTGGCGAACGGTATTTGTTTTTTTAATATTTAAAAATTATGTCATGATTCCATTTACATGTCCCATATATATATATATATATTTTAATAAACTATATGTCATATATTTTTTAAAAAATCTTCAACTGTTACATTTCACTTGTAAGGCTTGGCTCTATTGTTTGCAAATTTTAATGAGAAATTAACTTCTATTTTGAAAAAGAAGATCACTTTGGAAAGAAAAAAAAAAATCTAGGATGTTTGTTTTAAGTTGTTCAAAATAATAATATTTTTAATTCTTTTCTAGTAAGTTATCCTGAATACACTTCGATTACTTGGATAAATACTAGTAAGTTATGATTGTAACTAATCATAAAATAAATTCTATTTTTATTAGACAACTTGAAAATTATTTTTGAAGTTTAAACAAATGATTCTCTAGCGCATCTTAAACTCAATAAAAACACAGATACTTTTATTGTAAAATGATCTATATGAGTTGAGCGGTGTTTAGATAGATTTTGTAGTTCAGTTAACAATGATATTTGAGTTCATATCTTTACGAAATATACATTCCTAAGCAAAGAAACCATTTGTTAAATCAGCTTCAGTAAAGAAATATATACATTCTTATCTCATTTTTTATTAAAATACATATAATTGAGGGAAGTTTAGTTCGATTGGTTGAAAGGGATTCAATTAACTTATCCTACAACTTCAAATTTAAGTCTTGACATATATAGTCTTTTTAAGTAAAAATGTTAAAAGTATCTCTAAGATATTCATAAAACTGCTATCATTAATAACCATCCTATATGGTAGAGATTCGGATTAGTCTTGATACCATCAAGTTTTTCAAAATATCGAATGATAGATTTAAAAAAGGGACACAAAAATGAATTAGCAAACTTTTGCACTACACAAAACATTGGAAAATAGTCTTTGATGAGCTCATGTTTACAAACATAGACAAAATTTAGAAATCTTTTTGCGACCTAAATTTGTAAATGAACTACACAAATCTAACTTTGAGTTGCAGTGTAAAACTGAGTTTGGAAGGTAGTTTTAGTTTGTGAAATGGAGGTTTTCTAGAAGCCAAATGTGGTTGGTAAGTAAATTAAGCTTTCTAAATCTAAGTTTGTACTTTTAAACTGAAAATCAAACAAGAATTTAATTAGTTGTTCACAAAATAGTTGAGCAACCATTTTATTCGAGAGAATAATATTGAAGGCCCTGAAAAGAAAACTATTATAATAAATACCTGTTAGTTTTATATCGAATATTGTGTTATGAAAATATGAACATGTTGTAAAAAGCTAAACCTTAACTTATTAAATTTATGAGAAAACCCTAACAAAAAATACAAATTTTTTAATATTATTCTTCCATTTTATTATGCGATTGAAGTTGGAGGACACAACTATAAATTAAAGAGAATCATTCCCTAGTTAAATCAATGCGATAACAAACAAGTATTCCAATTCTAATTATATTAATTTAATCAAAATCAAAATATTGTTAAAATAGATTTGGGGCCTATTTTGGATAGAACTTTTAGGATCTAAAAGGGAAAATCATATCTAAGTCCTATAGAACAAGTTTAATTGCTAAGTGATCGCATAAAATTTACAAAATACTCTTAAATCCCAAATCCTATGCATTTATGATTGGGTAAAAGAAAATGACAACTCAATGAGGGAAAAATGATAACGTGGTATTAAATTCAGACCCAATTTGTCATGTTCCTTTCCCCAATTGTAAATATCTTTTGCCAATTTGTAAATACACAAGATTTGAAACTTGAGAATGTTACGGTAGATAATAATTTTAGTTTTAGTTGTGCTAAAGGACACTGCTTTTAAGAACTATTTTGTCACATTGAATTGGTTTACGATAACTCTCCAGAATTAAATAGACTCATTTTGCACTGTTAGTTAAGGGCACATAACAAAAGAAACTAGTAGGAATAAACTTAAGAACACATGGCAAGAAAGCAGTATTAGCGAGGAGGAGAGGTGGCCTGAAAGCTCAAAGGTTGTTACAATCCATTCTGTCTGCAAGCGTGCCTTTATATAGGCTGCAATCTGGACACAAATGTTGGACACTTAAGGCGCTAGATTAAGCAATTGTCATGAATCGTTGGGAAATAATAGGCTTTGATGAAATTTGTTTAAAGAATTTAAACCCCTATTTGAAGCTAAAAGTTTATGATGTTTAAATTTGAAATTCAAATAGCCAAATTTCAAGGTTTTTGGATAAGTTCTTTAAATGAATTATTATTTTTTTTTTGCAAAAATAAATTTGATAAAAAGTGCCTAGTATTGCATTAACTTGCTTGTAAGGGATAAGTCAACTATTTTTAATTGTGACTGCCTAGTGTTGGCTTATCTTGTGTGCACAAATCTACTTCTTCTCTAAGCCTTTTTATTAGTTCACTTTTACTCCTTGGTACTTACATCATTGGAGTTCCTTTATGTGAGTAATGTGGAATTTATCATTTCCACACACTACTCAATGATTACAACAAGGAGAATTTTGTATATTTCATGGGACCTTTTGATAATTAAATTTATTTTATGGGACCTAGGTGTGATTTTCCCAATCCAAAAAGACTTTCTAGAGCCATCCTCTTAAATGTTGTTTGGTTTATTTTTAGAGAAAATTATACAGAGATCTCATAGAGTTGACTTATTTATATAAATAAGTTTTACAAAATTTAAAAACCACAATTAAGTCTCTTCAGACTTGAATGTAATTTAAAATTTTAGTAAAAAGATAATAATACCCCTATTAAACATATATACATTACATTAGTCAAATAATTTATAACTATTTCATTAATAATTTATAACTTTAACTTTTTATAACTATAATTTTACATATTCAATAATTAAATTGATCTAAAGTAATTATAAATTAATTATTTGATTGATGTAGTGTATGTTTAATAGGGATACTATTGCCTTTGCAATCTAATTTCAAATTATACTCATATTTCAAAATTTGAGATTTGACTATAGTTTTTAAATTTTATGAGACTTATATATAAATAGGTTTATTCTATGAGACCTATGCATAATTTTTCCTTTTAAGTTGAGTTTGGATTCAGTTGGAAAACAATCCTCACGTATCACATCTCAAATGTTCATTTTCTTTGAGTTTCCGCTGGCTTTTGCAAAATGCAGCCACATGACAGCCTTTTCTTCCTATATTATAATTAAAAAATAAAAAAACTATTAAATATAACATTTTAAAAGTAACTCTAGATTCTAGAAGAGGTTCTTCTATTTTTCATAATTGATAACTAATTTTAAAATAACATATCTGAATTTATTTTTAATTATAAAAACAAATTTATTTTATGACCTATTTTTAGAATAGTTTTTTGTTCTGAAAAATAAAAAAATGAAAAGCCTATTTGAAGATGTGTTTTCTGTTGTCTGTTCTGAAAAATAAAAAAAATTAAAAATTATTTTATAGAACTAAAAAATCAGAACATCTTTTAAATGTTTTGCTACTTTTTATCATGCAAAACGAGAGAAAATGTAGCAAATGTTATGCTTTCACTAATGACAATTATGTTGATAAACTAAATTATTCTTTTATCATTTATTTCATTAATTTAGATATATTTTTTAAAATAATAATTTAATTTTTTTATTTTTAAACTTATTTTAAAAAATTACTTTGAAAACATAAAAACAAAGAATAGAATGGGCCTGTTTGAAAATATATTTTTAGTTTTTTATTTTTCATAAAGAGAACAAAAAAATTTGTTTGATAACATATTTTTAAAAAATATTTTGAAGAATTAAAAAAATAAAATATTATTTTAAAAAAAAAAATGAAAACAACTTTTAGGTGTTATGTGATTATTGTTATGAAGAATAAGAAAAAAATAAAAAATAATAATTTTTATTATTTTTTTCTCAAAATATATTCTATAAAATATCAATTTTTAAAATAATAAAATAAAAATAATTTCAAAAAACCCCATAAACTCCAGAACTCTTGCTATTGTTGTTGATTTTGAACCACTCTGAGACCTTGAAGGTCAAAATAACCAGCGAGAGTCCTTATATTTTTGTTTGGGCTAGTCCAGCCCATTTACGGGTCCGAAGACAAGCGAAGCGGAAACACATTGTTGTTGCTATAAAATCCATACATGTAAAAACCCTAGTACCTCATTGCCCAGGCGCACGTTCGAAGTGGTCGACGCTCTTACTGAAAGTTCGTTGCGGCTGGAGCTAGTGGGGATTACAACATGAAGGTTCTCATCCGAAACATTCATCTTCAGCGATTTGATCTTCTGGTTTGTTTGTATTCCTGTTTTCTGTTTATCGCTTGTGGCTAAATCTCCTGCAATTCTGCAGTTCAACATTGCGAATCCCACGACTGGATGCCAGAAGAAGCTGGAGATCGATGACGATCAGAAGCTGTAAGATTTTCACCTATCTAATATATACGTTCTAATTTTCAGCTTGGTGTTAGTTGCTGGTGCACGTCGCTTGTGTGCCTCATGTTGTGTTATCATTGTGATGAAAGAATTGGTAGAATTGATTCCTGAATAGTTATTTCGTTAGCTGAACATTTCGACATTTCCTTGATATTTCATAGTCTTTACGAGGAATCTAAAGCTTGTCGCTTTTCATATTATTCCAATGATTCATCGTTGGCCGTACCGTTTGATCTCGTATAGAGGCCTTTATATTTCTAAATAATGATATCGAGACCTATGTAACTACACTTCGCGTGATTTGCGCTGCAAATTATTATGGTTGTATTACAATTTAGTGCTTGTTAAGTTTTGTTTTTTGCATCGTCTAATGTCTAATTCACTTTAGTTTCTGTGATTTTTTGTTTTTAATATGTGATTGAGCTATCTTTTGGAACCTACTTTATGGTTACGTTATACTTGTGCAGGCGAGCTTTTTGGGACAAGCGTATCTCACAGGAGGTCAGCGGTGATGCTTTGGGCGAGGTATGCCCTTAATCACCATTTTTGTCTACTTCAAATTTGAAGGAACTCTAAATTTTATATATATTCATTGTATTCTTTTACATCTTTATATCTGCAGGAATTCAAAGGCTATGTCTTCAAGATCACTGGTGGTTGTGACAAACAAGGTTTTCCAATGAAACAGGGAGTGCTGACCCCTGGTCGTGTTCGGCTCTTGCTCCACAGAGGTAGGATTATTTTGAAGCTCGATAGATCCAAAAGTGCTAGTATTGTGTGGTTGATTTAGGTATAGGCTGGCATTAGTATTCATTTTATTTAATTGGCTTGAAGGTTTTGTGAATGATTCCATTTGTTTTCCTGCCTTAGCTGTCTGAATTAAAATGAAATTTTAGTATTTTATTGTATTTATCTCCTCATTAAATTTTGGCTTTTCTTACCATCTTTTTAACATACCCATGGTTGCCATCTGAGCTTGTTTGCTCTGCTTTTGTTCATAGACATGTACTACTATTGTGCTAATTTGTTTGCATGGGAAATCTGAGCAGGAACTCCTTGCTTCCGAGGATATGGAAGGCGCAATGGTGAACGCAGGAGAAAGTCTGTGCGTGGGTGCATTGTGAGCCCGGACCTCTCTGTTCTGAACTTGGTTATTGTGAAGAAGGGTGAAAATGATTTGCCTGGACTTACTGACATTGAGAAGCCAAGGATGAGAGGTCCAAAGAGAGCATCCAAAATCCGCAAGCTGTTTAACCTCTCCAAGGAGGATGATGTGAGGAAGTATGTCAACACCTATCGCCGTACCTTCACAACAAAATCTGGTAAAGTCATGGGTGCCTCCAACTACTATGTTTACTCTTGTCATTTTCATGTGAGCTTAATAAAAAGGGGATTGATCCTTAAATGGATTTGAGGATGATATCTCACATTGCTTTCAGCATCATAGCTAGTTCCAATTCTGGTGTTGCGTTTTTTTCTTAAAATTTAATTGAGATCTTTATAGATTGAAGTGATTCAAGAAATGGTGAAGTTAAACCCATGTACACTGAATGATTTCTTGACCTTTTTTTATACAAATAATTTCTTGACCTTTAGCCTCGCTCTTAAATTTGCAATTTGAATCATGACTCTGTCCAGATCCTGTCTTGCAAATTTATAGCTGCAGGTCGCATTTACTGTGTATAATCATACTTGAGTTATCTGACATTGCTCCTTGGTAAAAGGATGAGCTTATGCTGTTAAGAAACACTCCCACCCACTGAAATTTGGTTATATGGCTTTCATGGTGCAACATACAAGTCAAATAATTACATCTCAAATCAGAAGATTACTATTTTAGTCTGCCAGATGTAGCTAAGTCGACTAGAGGATGAGAATAGCCTACTCAAATATATAGATGTTTTAGTGCTTGCTTGGCTAGCACTTTTCAGATTTCAAATGCGATTCTGGGGGAATTTCAAGGCAATGTTTGTGAGAAGCAAAAAATTGGAGCTTTTGCGATAGTACATTCGAAACGGAAAAACAAACCCTTACCCTTAGATTATTCGGAATTGCTTATTATTATCATTGCCATAGCGTTTTTGATTAACATGTTTGGTTGCAGGCAAAAAGGTGAGCAAGGCCCCTAAGATTCAAAGACTGGTCACACCTTTGACCCTCCAAAGGAAGCGTGCAAGGATTGCAGATAAGAAGAAGAGAATTGCCAAGGCGAAAGCAGAAGCAGCCGAGTATCAGAAACTTCTTGCCTCGAGGTTGAAGGAGCAGAGGGAGCGCCGAAGTGAGAGTTTGGCCAAGAGGAGATCCAGGCTTTCTAGTGCCAAGCAATCCGTCGCAGCATAGGTCTCTTCCTGAGATATGGTGAAGATTTAACTGTTACCTTAGTTTTTGGCAGCGTTTTTCCATGATGATGGTATTTTTATGATTATGATATATTCGTATGGTTTTGCCAGTCAAATACAATGTTTTAGTTGAACGCGTTAAATGTATTTTTAATTTGATGTTTGACATTTTACTTGAGTTCAAATGAATTTTGTGACCATTTTGGCGTGGTAACACTTTAATTTTGTTTATTGAAACGCCACTGCTTAAATGGAATGTTATACATAAAGCTTGTGGGTATTTTCCAAGACACCAGAATATACAGTATTACACCATGCAGCATGGAATGTGGATAATGATGGTAGAAATACGTGGTTAAATTATTTATTTTTTAATCGTCATAACTTCATGATACTTTTTTTTAGGTCTGAATATTGTCTAAAACGCTTATTAAACCACAAGTTGTGTGCTTCAAAATCATATATGTTAATTTTTTTTCAGGGGTCTTCCAAATTGTTTTTTCAATATTTTATTGCGTGCTCGCTTATGTTGCACTTTTTTTTGTCCTGGTTAGAATCAGATGTATGGGTACTTGTTTTTTTTTTTGGGCCAACTATGGGTACTTGTAACACAACATAAAATGCAACGACAATTTGAGTCCATACGGGATAAAAACATAGTCTCACACAAAACTTACAAGTACTTATGTAACCATTTTAAAGTTGAGTTAACTACCTTTAATTTTTTTTTTTTGTAAGAATATATGGCCATGGGAAAACATGCAGGCAGAAGAATTATTTAGTCATGTCAAAATACATGATATTTTTATATCCAGAAGGCAGCTCATCAAAGATTGTTTAAGTTAAGAGTATCATTGGATGCATAGCCAAATAGATTGGCACATTTGTTTGTTTTCTAAATATATGATTGAAAGTTATTGTCCAATATTTTATAATTTTAAAGAACATTCGAAGCATCTCTGAGAAATTGAGAAATTTCCTTTGATCATGTCCACAAAGAAGTTAATTGTTGTGTTAACTATTTAGCCTAAATGGCTTTGAGAGATCATTTTGACACTATTTTTTTTCATAGACCGTCCACTGAATGTAGAAGTCTTGTGGCTTCACATAAATTGATTTTGGTCTCTTGCATGATTTTTACTATGGCCATGTATTAAAAAAAAAAAAAACAAAGAATAGGGATGATTCTAGGAGAAGTGCCAAATCAAGGACAAAGCTTCAAAGGAACTTCGAATAGATGTTAACTTTGATTAGCTATCTATTGCGATGAAATTTAATTCCTGTCAAAATGCCTAATAGTTCAGCAATTGTGCTAGACTGATAACTAACATATTTGAAAAGTCACTTAATCTAGTTTTTATGAGTGTCATGAATCAAGTCTCCACAAGTTGCATCCAATTGATGTTAATTGATTTGTCAATCTATAGTTTAGCCTAGCCTATTTTAGGAGGGCTTCATTTTGCTTTAGATCTTGCAACCACCTTTGATAAGAGGTTGGTCTTGGACTATAGATTGTTATCATTGATTAGTTGTTGTTTGTTGATGAATGCAATGTCTTTGTTCGGTGTATTATCTTGCCTTTCAAATGTTTCAGGCTTCCAGCATGTTAGAGCGAAAAGTTTTTGCTAAGGAGTTTCTCTTAAGTTTGAAATTCCAACATTATTTTTTCATTCAAAGTTATCCATTCCTACATGAAAAAAGAAAAGAAAATATTAAATTTAGAAGGCTTAACTAGTTTCATCCAAATTTCCTTACAATCATGCAAGATGTGAATTGAGGAGTATGGGGAGTTACAACCATAAGAGAAAATCCTTTGATAAGGTCTATTCTCATAAGTGAAGGCATAATTAATTTGGAGGTGGTTCCAAATAACTTGAAAAAAAATTAATTTTTTTTATAGGTTGGCCATTTTTAAATTCTAGACCAAATTTTTGAATTAGCTAGGTTGCACAGGCTGTCCATAGTTTTGTAGACAGATTTAATGGTGAAGTTACCATGGTTCGAAAACCTCCCGTAAAGAACATCTTCATCACCTATCTTGATTTTATTGAGTCCCTTAGAACCCAAAATCCACTTGAACTTTTTTAGATGTAAAATACAGATCTTGGAATTAGCCTCTATCTTGAATGTGTTTGTTGATTGAATCGATACTGCTAATTCTTTTGATTGTTTGCTTGAGTTGGACGGCAGTTAGATTAAGCACAACCCTCTTGCTTGCTTTTGTTAAAACAGGAAAAAGAAAAAGAAAAAGAGTTGTATATTAACAAAAAGGGGTAAGCTATTTTTTTAATGAAACGACACCGAATTTTAATTTAGGAAAAAAGGATTAGCAGTTTTTCACTTCCCAAGTTACATGAAAATGATTCTCCAAAACCTAAAATACTCCATTCCGACTACAACATAGAGCATCTGCTAGAAATTTGCTTAGTTTAAAATATAGAGCATTATGCATTTTTTATAATTGCTTTCTAATTGTACCCCCATTTCATTTATTAATTTTTTTAAAAGGTTTGATAATAAATTTGTTCCTAAATTATAGGTTTAGGAATGTCTGGGTTTCTAAATTTGCTTTTGGTATAATGTGTTCAACTTTTGAAAACATTACAACATTATCTCTATTGTTAATAAATATTAATTTTGACTGTTAATTGACTAAAAAATAATAAAAAATGATCTTAAAAATTATAGAAAAGGACAAAATAATTCTTAATCTTTTTTAAAATTCTTGGTCACTGTCCGTAAGTGTGGGTCATTTTTTATATTTTTTTGATCTTATTCTATAAATTTTAATTAACTAATGATCAAAGTTAATTTTGTTAATAGTAGGGGCGATGTAACATGCTCTTTATTATATTAGATAACTTAACTATAGAATCATTAAATCTACTATGGTAGAAAGTGAAGAAAATATCATTAAAAAATCTATCACAATAGAAAAACGTCTTGCTCAAAATTTGAAAAACTAATTATATATGGTAGAAAAAAAATTTAACTAAGTCTTTGAAAACCCTACCATAGTTATAAAAGCAAGTTAAAAATTCAAAAACATTAACCATGATAGAAAAGGTTTAATAATACATTCAAAGCAAGTGTCATGGTTAAACAATAATTAATCTTGACTTCAACAATTATCCATGATAGAAAAGAGTTTGATTTAACTTTAAAAAAACTATCATGAATAAAGGTTTCCTTGGTGTAAAAAAAAAAAAAAGAAGAAGGAACAAACATCATTTGATTTCTATGAGAAATCACTAGTTTTCATGAATATTTTGAGGAGATATTTAATGGCAATATTTGCCTATTTTTAACTTTTCAGTAGACACTTCAAAAGGCTTTTTGGCAAAAAATTTTTTGAATACAAACACTTTTTCACTAAATAATTTGTCTTGCAAATAGTATTTCATGCAAACTTCAAATTAAAAGAAATCTTCAAAAGGCTCGCGCGCATATATATTTTTTCACTTACATACATGTGTGCCTATGCACACATTAATTTCATGAGAAAAGTTCTTCCTTCATTTAAATCTCACCATTTGATGGTACTCTTGACTCAATCATTATACAACTTCTTCACTACCCCAATCATATCCTTCTAATTAAGTTAAAACACCTATCATCAGCACACTCTAATAACTTGTACCTCAAGTTTCACTTATAGAAATTATCAAAATTTTGTTTTTCAGCCTTTCATTCACTTTGTCACTATTAAGTTTTCTCAACTTCTTCATTAATGAAAAGGAGAAATTTAATTATTGTATATTAAACTTACTTCCATAAAGGTTTAATTGGCAGGCAACAACCATAAGAAAACACACAATATTGACAAATATCCCCTACTCATTATAGGAAGGACTAACTAGCCGATGTGAATTCTAGTTTGCAACCATTTATACTTTTGTGTAAGAGTAGATTTATTTAGTTAGTACACACATTCTTATATCAAAAGGTACCCTTATATGTGCACTTTTATTATGAATTATGAACGTAGCATAGAGTTTATCATGCCGTTTTTACACATAATTGTTGTTCTTGATTATTTTCTGAGGAATCTTAATCTATCATTTTCTCCTTTAAAATTCATATTTTAGCAATAAAGCTTAACATAATCACTCTTATTTGCTCCAACACTGCACTGTTTTAAGGTCTAAACGTATTAATAATGTCTTAAGTCTTTTGGTTTTGCACCCTTTGAAAATCAAAAACGAAAATGCAACAAATCATTATAAAAGTTTCATAAAACTTGTATGTTGTGTACATGCCCATGTATATCAATATTTCTAAGTTCATAAAAGGATCGATAATTTACCCAATTTCATATGAGTAATAGAGCTAAGAAAATATTTAATTTTGGATTGAAATGAAGAATTTGAGAATTTGAGGCGTGTGAGAATTGAGAATTTTAGTAAACATAATTAAACTAATTAACTCTTGTATTATTAACTTTGTTGGCCACTAATAAATATGATTATTTTGGGTCGAACTTTGAGTAATGAAAATTTGAAGTTATGATCAATTGATAATTGATGGTTCAATTGGATTGATATAAGGCTAAATGATGATTGAGAAATTGATTTGGAATTATATATAAACCCAAATGCAGGGACAGATTTATTTGTGTTGTAGAGGAGGCAATTGCCCACAAGCCCAGAAAAAAAATACATATAATGATTTTAAATATTTCATGTGCCTCCATTCAAAAATTTCAGCTACCCTCTGCCCCTTCAAAAAAGAAAAGAAAATTCATGTCGTCCTATAAAAAAATTTCACTAATTTCCTAAAAAGTTTATTTGACCAAGGTCTTATGTATGTGTTTTAACCTTACATAGAAAGAATTTTAAAAAGAAGGTAGAAATAGTTTAAAAAATAATTTTCTCTAATTTTATGTTTAAATTGAAAATTTTATCACAAAAAAGTATACTATACAAAAGAATTAAATATTATTGGCATACAAAAGTTTAGATGCATGAGACAGATCTTAAATGATCATGAACTAAGCCTTTATTCATTGAACTTACCTTTATTGATCAAAATTCAAGAAACTTAAGTTTTATTAATTAAAATGAAAAGCGAAACTTTATTTATGTTATTATAATTTTATATTTTATTTATAATTCTTTAATAGCATTTAATTTTAATGAATTTTATATTTAATTAAAATTATAATTAATTTAGTGATAATATTAATATAATATTTATTTAT